TCTGGGGCTGAGGCCGGAGGCCACCGAGGCACCGCGCTGGCAGGTCGTGGCGCGAAATTCCGAGTCCTTTTCCCCTCTACAATCTTGGACCTGTTTTGTATGCCACTTTGCTTTTAAATTCTCAAGATCCACCTAGGTCTTTGACCTAATATTGCATATGTGTGAAACCTCAAAACGAACCAAAACTGCGCAGCTGTTACATTCCTTTCATTTCCCATCTTACTGGACAGAGAAAAGGTGAAGATAATGCATGTTCGTGCCACGTGTGGGGGGTGAGAATCACTGCACCCCCACACACCCGGGGATGCCATCCAGGGGCTTAACACCGAGCTACATCTCTAGCCTTTTGGAAATTTTTTTCTTAAATTTGGAAAAAACTTTTTTTCTTAAAATTGGAGACAGAGCCTCACTAAGTTGCTACGGGCTCAAACTGGAGATCTTTCTGCCTCAGCCACCCGGAGTTCTGGAAATACCGCACCTGGCTCTCACTGCACTTTGTAAATTGTTACCTATCCTGGGTCCACCTTGTTGTGTAGATTCATAACTGCAGATATTTTTATGTATGAATGTATGTGTGTGTTGTGTACTAATTGTTATATACACATATACACGTATACATGTGCGTTACCGTTATCTAATACAGCAATTTTCTTTGCGCCATTATTTATTTAATTGGTGTTATTTGCACAGAACATCTTTCATTTGGTTACATTCTGGTGTCTTCGAACTTCCCTTGAAATTCGGTGGCTACGGACACAAATTTGCTTAGATTTGTCTGAAAAGCAGCTTTTGTTGTTATTTAACCTTTTGCTGGTGCCGGCACAACGTGGCTTCATTTTATCCCCTCTCAGTCCTGACCAGTTCCTGCCTTTCCCATGAAACTACAATCGTTTGTCAGAAAGTACCACGTTCTATTCTGGGAATTCCAGGGTGGTTGTAGAACTTGAAGCTCACGCTGAGACTCCTAATGCTAGAGCACACTTTAATAACGCACAGGCAGTGATTCTGATCTGGAAGCGACATTTACCCTTTCCCAGAGAGAAGATGGCCTCGGTTCAGTTTGTAAAATACAGTATTATGCTCCTGGCAGGTCCTTGCATGTGACTGCTGAAATGGCAGAGATGCAGTGTTTGGTATCATTTTATAAATAGGGCAGAGGATGCCAGAATAGTCCATTCGGTTTTATACCCCAGATGCCAGTCTCAGAGTTCAAGTGGTGGCTTCAGCCAACATGTACCCACACCATGTGAAATATTACCAACACCTGCCTGAAGAAATTAGCGTGTTTAAACAAAATGTAATTCATACAATAAATATTTATGAGACATTGAAAGTTAAATACAGACTGATTCTTTTATAAGAAATCGTGGATAGATTTTAGGTGTGGTAATAGAGTTGCGATTTTGTTTTTTTAAATTTATTTATATGATTGGTTATGGATAAAATGTTGCACACACACTTGAAGAATGAACTTGGCTCCATCAAGTCATGTAACAGTTGTCCTAGCCCTCTCAAGAATGTTTTTACTGTTTTGAGTTGCAAGGCAGGCTGGGATCTGGAAGGACCAATGAGAGTGGATGATACCGAAAGCCCTTTCATTGTCCCTGATTGGCAGGTTAGGATATGCTGCCCGCTGAGCCATCCTAAAGCTGAAACTACCAACAGCAGGCCAGACTCCACTTATCCCACTGCCTTTCCATTTTTGTGACCGCATCTGAGAGAGAGCCTTCTAAGAGCAAAAGGCTTTCTTGCAAGTGCATATGGGAGTGGACATCTGCCCTAACCCAGCAAAGTCTGCCTTGTCCAATTCTAAAATTATTACAATATTTTTTCTCCATGAAGGGGGGTGCTGGAGTGCACATATACCTATGGCATGGAAATGTGAATAAATTTCAGTGAGAGTCAGCCATTGTTCACGGCACCCGATTTCCAGTCTTTCTGTGGATTGTGTATCATGGTGTACATTGATATGGCACTGCCATTTCCATGTTAAAATATAAAAGCTAGGTGTGGTGGCACTGAGAGCTGAAGCTGGATTACCTTGAGTTCAAGGTCAACCTGGACTACATAGTGAGACCCTCCCTGTCTTTAAAAAAAAAACAAAAACAAAAAACGAGATATAATCACAGGCATTTACAAACTTTTGGTTACTTAAAAATTTGTATTCAATGTCAGGAGCGAGTGATGAGGCACACATATTCATTTGTTTTGTTGAACTACACCAATCCATGCCACTTTGATATTTGGTCTAATGTGGCCTTATTTTACATACTATGAAAGGGTTTTCTTTCTGAGAGTTTCATTATGGTATGAAGGCAATACAGCTAGATTTTAAAGAAATTAAGAAGAGCAACACAATTACCATGATTAGGTTAAAAAGCCCCATCTTTGTGGTACTCATAGTCAAATGGAGAAGACAGATAACAAACAAGATAAAATTTCTAGAAGGAACGAGTCACATAAAATCATTAATTGGAGGTGTATTAATCTCCTCGGACTGCTGTAACAAAGCAGATTGAATATCTGTTATCTGAAATTCTGGGGACAGAAGTGTTGCAGATATTGGAATATTTGCACATACAAAATCTGATGTCTTGGGAAGGGGACCCAAGTCTAAACATGAAAATCATTTATGCTGCATTTATATTTTATGCACATAACCTTAAGGTAATTTTGTATAATATGTTTAGTGCGCTTGCGTTTTGCTTGTGACATGAGGTCAGGTGTGGAATTTTCCACTTGTGGTATCGTGCGGGGCTCAAAGAGCTTCACATTTGGGAGCGTTTTGGTTTTGGGATTTTCAGATTAGGGATGTTTCACCTGTACCATGAGCCAGGAGGCTTGAAACAAAAGGAGTTTACTCCTCACAGTTCTGGAGTCCAGAATCCAAAATCAAAGCATCAGCAGGACCTTGCTGCCTTTGCAGCTCCAGGTAGAACCCTTCCCCGCCTCTTCCTAGCTGCTGGCTGGTGCCCAACAACGCCTGGCGCTCTCAGCTTCCAGCTTCCATCACTCCAGCTTCTGTTCCTGTGGCCACTTGGGGGTCATCTCTCCATGTGTCGCAGTCTTTGTGTGGCATTCTCTTCTCTTTTATAAAGACATCAGTGTGTGTCCCTTCTCTTTTCTAAAGAAGACATCAGTCATTTTGGATCAGAGCGAATCCTGATGACCTCCCCTCAACTTGATTATGTCTGTAAAGAAAAGACACTGTTCCAAATGAAGTCCCACTCACAGGTACCAGGGTTAGGACTGCAGCTTATCTCTTTGATATTATCAATTGATAATCCAGAGAGAGACTTGAGAGGGGAGTGAAGGTGTGGTTTGCATGGAGAGTCGGAGGCTGCCTGAGGTGAGAGAGCAACCCCTGCAGATATTGGAGAAGCCCGCTCAGGCCAAGGGCACAAGGAGTGGAGCGGTGCCTAGGTGGGCTAGGTGGTCAGGGTGGGAGGACGCTTAATTGTGAGGCAGGAGGTGGCAAAGCCTTAGTGCTTTCTTTTCAGTTGGATGAACGTTGTAGTGGGTTCTGAGCAGAGAGGTGCCCATGAGCTGACTTACATTTTCAAAGTTTAGGGTGCTAGGGTGGCAGCCAGGAACCTGCCTACTATGTGGTTTAATAGTCTGGGTGAAAAGTAGCTTGGTCCGGAGTGGTGGCAGTGGATGCAAGGAAACAAGCGTGGGTTCGGATTATTTTAAATTGGAGCCAAAGAGATTTGCTGCTGAATGGGGTGTGGCTTAGGAGAAAAAGCAAAGGATTGAGTGAGGCGTGGTTTCTTTCCTGAGCAAGGAGGTGAGTAGAGTTGTGATTACTGATAAAGGGAGCCCTGGGGAAGGAGCGGGTCTGCAGGGGCATCCAGAGGTCAGTTTGGGACACATAAAATGTGAGACTCCTGCTGGGCCTGCAGTGGCGCAATGGAATATTCAGATCTGGAGATCAGAGGCCAAGTCCAGGTGAAGTGAGGGCTGCTTTCAGCTTGCAAACATGGCTAGAGCCATTCAGAGCAGCGTGAGGTACCAGAGAGGGAGTGAGTGTTAGAAGTTATTAAGACTGAGCCTACGACTCAGGCCTGGAAGGAAAGAAAGAGGATGGAGAGCTGCCGGAGAGGCTTTGGGATTGTCTGAAGGTGTCCAAGACAGCACGATGTCCGGGGAGCCGAAAGGTGTTTAGGAAGAGCCTTCAGCTGTGTTCTAGATGTTCTGGGAAATGCTTGGAATTCTATCCTGGAATAGAAGTAGCTGTTTCTCTGCTATCTTGTGAAAATGATACTTTAAGAAGTGGTTTTCTAGGGCCGGGGCTTTAGCTCAGTGGTTCGGTGGCCTGCCTTGCAAGCGCAAAGACCCAAGTTCAATCCCCGGTACCAAAAAAAAAAAAAAAAAGTGGTTTTCTGAAGTGGGATTTTTCAAGGGAAGTAGGGAATGGAAAGAGTCTGATCTTTCTACCTTTTTATCTTCTTTGTCTGTGTTCTGCGTGGGGACTTTGTGGAAGAATGGAAAAGGGAAAGTGGAGTCTCTGGTCTATCCTGGGGGAAACTTCTGAACTATTCAGAAAGTTTCTTGTGCTGCCCTCAGGTGTAGCCTTTCCCTTAACTGCCCATCCGGAAGGAAAGAGCAAACAGCTACAGCTCTTTGATATAATGACTTTAAAAGACTGTTTTCTCCTCCAACCCAGTTCCACGGAATGAGAGAGGTTAATAGCCAGGTAATTTCAAATGAATGAAGTCTGACTGCAATCCTGACTTGGTGCTAAATGATACCTGTGCTTTCCCAGCTGCCTCTTGTTTTGTCCGTGGGATCTTTGGACAGCCTCTCCCATGTAGGGAAGCTAATATATGCCTTAGAAAAGCATCTCTGGGCCTCGTGCTGCTGTCCCCAGTGCCAAGTTCTGTTTTGCTTGGAATGTGTTCTTAAGGGCTGGGCGATGGAACAAAAAACTCATTCAGACAATGAGATTGTGTCTGAGATGTGTGAAAATATATTTTAATATTTAAGTGAATGATGGCGTGAACTAAGGAAAGCGCTAGACTTAAGTCACAGGATCTGACTTTTTTACTGCCTTCTTTCTTTTTTTAACCCCCATTAAGTTCATTGGTACATTTAAAGTAAAAAATACAGTTACAGTCATCACTGGGATCTTGTACCCTTACATGACAGACCTTGATTCTCATTTTTTCCCCTTGTCCCTGCCCTCCCTTCACCCTCCCCTATTTACAAAGACTTCATTTTAAGTTTTTCACATTTTTTTCTTTTCCCTTATTTCCTTTCCCCTCCCCTTCCACTTCCCCTTTAGCCATTTCCTTCCTATTTCACACTCCCAATTATACCATTTGAACTTTATTTACACTTTTAGTTTTTCACACCAGAGAAACTATTGAGTATTTACACATGTGTGTCCTATTTATTTCACTTAAGAATATGGCCTCCATATACATCCATTTAGCTATAAATGTCTCATTTCTCATTCTTTATGGATGAGTAGTACTTAATTTTATATATTAAAAAAAACACACATCTTCTTTATCCAGACTCCGATTGATGGGCACTTGGGTTGTTTCCAAGTTTTAGCTATTACGAACTGTGCCACTATAGACATGGATTCACATACATCACTGTGATGTGATTCTTTTAATTCTTTTGGGAAGATACCCAGCAGAGGAATAGCTGGGTGAAATGGGACCTCCAATCCTAGTCATCTCCGTATTGATTTCCACAGTGGTTGCACCAGTCTGCACTCCCACCAACAATGAAGAAGAGTTCCCTTCTCTCCACAACCCCACCAGAATTTATTATTGGTTGATTTCTTGATAGCGGCCATTCTTTCTGGGGTAAGGTGGAATCTCAGTGTTATTTTCATCTGCATCTTTTGAATGACCAGTGATGTTGAACATTTTTTCATGTATTTATTTGCTGCTTTTACTTCTTTGAGAAATTGTTCATTTCAGATGCCCATTTTTGGATCTGGTCTTTGTATGTGGGGGAACTGATTTTTTTAAATTCTTTATATATTTTAGCTAGTAGTCCTTTATCTGGGGAGAAGCTGGTAAATTTTTTTCCCCACATTGTAGGTTGTCTCTTAGCTCTGTTGGTGGTTTCTCTTGTGTTGCAAAAAATTTTTAATACAATGAGATCCCAGTTGTTGATTCTTTGTGCAATTTCTTGTGCTGCTGAGGATTTTTTCATTAAGTCTTCTCCTATGCCAATGTCTTTGAGAGTTCTACCTACTGTTATCCATCCTTTTAGTCTCAGACTATGAATTTCTTTGTGGATTAATTGGGTTTCTTGTACACAGCATATTGTTGGATTTTGCTTCTTAATCCATTCTACCAGCCTATTTCTTTTGATTGGTGAATTGACGCCATTTTTACTCCCTTCTTGATGAACTGGGATGAACTATTTGGCATCTGTAAATGGAAGAATAAGCTATAGTACTTTGCTTCTACCACCAGTTTTTCATGGAGTCACATGAGATAACCACAAAACAAGTTGTACTTAACTAGCATTTATTATGAGTCTGACACTATTCTCAGCATTGTAAACATGTTAACTCATTTAATTTGTACAACAATCTATGCGATAGTTGTTATTAATTTTATCCTCAGTTTACAGATGAGGAGCCTCAGACAAAGAGGGCAGGTAACTCTCCAGGGCCACACAGCTAGTAAGTGGCAAGCTGGAACCGGAAGTCAAAAATATTTGGTAGATAGAACTAATTTGCTTAAGCCAAAGTCATATTCATTTTAAAAGTTTGACGGGGTATTCAGGAGTCACTTTTTCCCAGGACACTAGGTATCTGTAGGGTCACTGGGCTTATATGTTTGTGTGTTGTGGGGGGCTTGAACCCATATTTTCCCACTGAATTACACCCCCAAGTCTTTAGGCTGATTAACTTAATGCCAGTACTATCAAAAACATGGATCAGTTTTGGTCCGAGAGTGTAGCTCAGTGGCACCATGCCTTGAGTTTTGATGACTTGTAGGTAAGCTTTCAATTAGCACACCTTTAGGGTCTATTCTTTAATAAATCTTACAGGCTGGGGATTTAACTCAGTGGCTCAGGCGCCTGCCTCCCAAGCACAAGGACCTGAGTTCGATCCCAAGTACCAACCCCCACCCCAAAACATAAAACCCTTACATTCTACATGGACCCTGTCCGCCCCTGGCAAACATGGATTCCACCCTACACTTTCGTTTTGAGAGTTCATGATGGCTCAAAATCTTTTGAGCACGTTTCTGGTGTCCTTTGTGTGCCTAGTCGTGTAAAGATACATATTTCCACATTTAACTAGTAGATTCAAAGTGAGCAATGAAAACGCAGGATGGATAAGGTCAAAAGCAGACTGAGGGGCTTCAGTCCTGCCCTCCTGTGTGACCATGACTGTGAGTCAGACTGTGGACTGCGAGGAATGGTATGTTTTGTAAGGGCAGATGTTAGTTCAGACGTAATTCACCAAATCTGAATAATGCCTGGGAAGCTGAAGTGTAGTCCTTTTACTTGTTGTTTCAAAACTAAAGTATGGATCAAGAACACCATGGTTGTGATATGATTATTACTGAAAATAATTGTGACCTGAGTGGGCAGTGTCAGAAGGCTCTCAGCTCTGGGTTTCACGTACTCTGGGAATGCCACGACGATCGGTCACCACTGTTCCCTCCCATTTGTACAGTTGCTGGCCAACACCCTCCCAAAAACAAGCATCCAAAGGAGCAAGGAGAGAATAGAATCAAACCGACCAACAAAAAGGTGAAACCCAAAGTTCCTAAAATAAAAGACAGGGATGCGGCTGATTCAACATCCAAGAGTCAGTCCATCATGGTGCAAGTGACAGACCAAGGGCGCTTCCAGAAACCTGCTGCTACCCTGAGTCTGGCGGCGGGGCAGACGGTAGAGCTTCGATGTAAAGGAAGTAAGATTGGATGGAGCTACCCTGCCTATCTTGACGCTTTTAAGGACTCCCGCCTCAGGTAAGCGTGTTTCCTTTTCTAATGGTATGGGTCAGAGGTTTGCTTTTGTTCTCTCCTTCAGTAGTGTGTAGTTTCTGACAACTACCACTTCACCCTAAAAGGTGCTAAAAATGGAAGCTTAAAGAACAAAAAGCCGTAGACGTTATGTCTTGACGTGATTAAAAAGTTGTTGCAGATCTTACCAAGAGTGTTTGAAAGAATGAAATTTTATAAGATACTACATGACAAGAATAAAATTTTATCGGAAACTAAAATTTTATAGGAAATTGTAATGCCCAGGAATGGATACTAAAAATATTATTCAGTGAAAAATCATGTACTTGATGTTTTGTGCTAGTTTTTAAGTAATCATAAACTGAAATGCTCTGGTGAGATCCCTGTGAGGAAATTAATCAGAGACGTACTTTAATTACTTTTTACCTTTCCACCTGCTTCTGATTATTTTTATTTTTGTGAATAAATAAGGCCTCATTGGTAAGAAGACCAAAGATTTCTCATGTTTAAACCAGTACTTTGCTGGGTGTAGTGATGCATCCCTGTAATCCTAGCCCACTGAGAGGCTGAGGCAGGAGAAACAAATTCAAGGCCAGCCTGGGCAACTTGGCAACTTAGCAAGACCCTATTTCAAAATAAGAAATAAAGAAATGGCTGGAAATGCAGTGAAAAGTGAAAAGGCCGTGAGTTCAGTCCCTAGGATCACACACACACACACACACGCACACGCTCCTTCAGGATGCTGGTGATAGAAAAAGTGGTTAAAATGATGCTTATGAAAACTATGTAGAGCTGGGCATGATGGTGCATGCCAGTAATCTCAGCACTCAGGAGGTCGAGTCAGGAGGATCGCTGCAAGCTCAAGGCCAGCCAGTACTACACAGCAAGACCCTGTCTCAAGAAGAGGGAGGGGCAAGAGAGGGAAAAGAGGAGGCAGAAGAAAACTATGAGCCAGGTGTGGTGGAGCATGCCTGTGTGTGTGTGGAGGAATGCATGCATATTCTTGTGGAAGCAAATTTGAAGGGATTTACCAGTGCTGTATATATACACGTACTTGTATACAAGTGTGTGTTAAAAGCATCTCGATTTACCTTCTTAGTTTTTTTGTTTTTTCCTGTGATGTTACAGGTAGAACCTGGGGCCTCACCCTCGCTGGACAAAGTGCTGTACTCCAGCCTCTCTTAACAGTTCTTAAGTGAAAAGAACAGTATTAGTAACTACCTATAGGCACATGTTGTAGAGCTCATCTCTTGAACGTTTTCATCTCGCATGATTGAAACCCTGTACCCGCTGAGCGACTCATTTCTCGCACCTCATACCTAGCCCCTGGCAATCAACGTGCTACTCTGTGTCCAGGAGTTTGACTACTGCAGCTTCCTCAAATAAGTGGAGTCTTACACTGTTTGTCTTTGTGGTTGGCTTATGTCACAGAGTATAATGTGCTCAGGGTTCATTCTTCAGGGTTTATCTATACTGCAACATGACAGGGCTTTTCTGTTTGTTTTGTTTTGTGTAGTGCCTGGGATTCAGCTATTTAAATTGCTTCCACATTTTGACTATTATGAGCAGTGCTACAGTGAACCTGAATGTACTCACGTGTCTTCTGAGGTCCTGTTTGTAGTTCTGTTGGATATAAACCCAAACATCAGGTTTATTGTACATATTTTAAATAACCTAATTTACCAAACTCAGGCATACACAATTTGTAAAACCAGAATTTAGATAAATTACTTTGAATATTGAATCTTTGACTTATACAAAATATCACAAACCTATAGGATTTGGTGCTTGAAGATTTAGTATTTTCAAAATTATATCTAAACTACATGTTGAAATATGTTTGAAAACATTTAAGGACTCAAAGTGAAGCAAGTGTGATTATATTTAAAGAGGAATGTCCGAGAGCTGAAGCTCTTTTGGACTTTTTAATATTAAATAACATTTATGCAAAGCATAGTAGGGGACTTATGAGAAGCTAAAGACAAATGTGTGTCCCCAAAGAGCTCATAAAACATGTAAAAAATGTGAAAAATATCTAATCTTAACTCAACCACCAAAAAAAAAAAAAAAAAAAAAAAAAGATTTCTTTGACACCAGAGATTCAAGAAATAGACTCTTGACATTGTTCCCAGAACGTGGTAACTTTGGACCATGCAGAAAGTATTCATTCTGTGTTTTCTTTTGCTGTAGGATTAGTTCTTTCCATCATTATGACAGCTGTGGGACTGGAACCTCCCTGATGCTTCCAACAGAGCTGGGCAGTGTTAACCAGTAAGGCAGCTTTTGGTAACTAGGGTCACTTGCTGGCACCTTCACCCAGATTTGTTTTCTACGTGCTCTTTTCTCACTGAGTTATGAGTTCTTGTTTGTCACTATTCTATGAAAGCAGGCCCAGAGAAGGAGTAATGTATGAAAAAGAAAGGTGTCTACTTAACTCATGGAGCCCCAGATAAGTGAAACAGCAGGGTCCAAGTGGAGAAAAATGCCACCTACGTTTACTTGTCCCAAAATTCTGGGGCTGTTATTGTCACTTGTTAAATACTTGAATGAATGAATGAACAAATGAATGTATTTGACTATATTCATTGAAAAATAGCACTTTTTGGTAATTCAAACTTGGATAACAAGAAGATAAATTAATGTCACCACAATATGATCTCTTTAGGACTAGAAGATACAAGAGTCCCTCAGTGCCTATTGATTTTCACACTGGTGTTTTTCCCAGTATCTTAGTTTCTGAAACAAGATGGTCTTTTAAGGATCCTCTCAACTATGAGTCTGGGATTTGAGAAAAAGAGCTTTTAAACCTATACTTAGGTACATAAATATGTATTTTAACCAACAGTAATTGCATATAGGGCTGGGGTTTTAGCTCAGTGGTTCTGGCGCCTGCCTCTCAAATGTAAGGGCCCGCGTTCGATCCCCAGTATAAAAAAAAAAAGTAATTACATATAGAATTTTAGATAAATCTATTTATAGTTTATCATTTTAATAACATTATAAAATTCCAATAATTTCATATAGAATTGTTTCAACTGGTTCCCAGTTTGTGACTGTTTGAGAAGTTTTACTATCATAAGTAGTGCAATTAGAAGCATTTTTGTTTATAAATCACTTGCTATACTTGTGTGCTCTAACACTAAAAGAAACATTCAATTTTCTGAACTTTCATAAAGTGTGTTGCTCTACATCTCCCAGGGATGCAAGGATGTTTCAACTTATGCAAATCAATAAATGTAATACATCACGTAAACAGAAGGACAAAAATCACATGATCATTTCAATAGACACAGAAAAAGGCTTTGACAGAGGCCAACATCCTTTTATGATAAAAACACTGAAGAAAATAGATATAAAAGGACCTTATCACAATCTGATAAAAATAATTCATTTATGAAAAACCTGCTGCCAACATTATATTAAGTGGGGAAAAATGGAAAGATTTCCCCCCAATTCAGGAACATGACAAGAACTTCACTAACACCACTCATAATCAACAGAGTACTCAAAACCTTAGCAAGGGCAATTAGGCAAGAAAAAGAAATAAAAAGAGTATGTATAGGAAAGGAAGAATTCAAACTATCATTCTTTGCAAATGACACAATCCTCTTCATAGAAGACCCCCCAGAAATCTACCAAAAGACTGTTAGGATTAATACTGTAACCAAACTCAATAGTGTAGTCGGATATAAAAATCAACACACAAGAGAAAACAATCCAAAAATTCATTTGGAACCAGAAGAGACCTAGAATAGCAAAAGCAATTCTAGGCAACAGAGACATGACAGGGGTTATCACAATCCCCACTTTGAAACTATACTACAAAGCCACTGTGATAAAAACAGCATGGTACTGGCAAAGAAACCCAAGGATCAGTGGAATAGATTAGAAGATGCAGAGACAAATCCAGACATAACTCCAGACATACTCAGCCACTTCATCTTCGACAAAAGAGCCAAACCACCCTCACTGGGGGAAAGATAGCCTCTTTAATAAATTGTGCTGGAAAAACTGGATTTTAACCTGCCTCAGATTAAAACTAGACCCACGTGTTTCACCATGCAGTAAACTAAAATTGAAGTGGATTAAAGATCTAAATATTAACATGGAAACACTAAAAATTTGCTGGAAGATAGGTTAGGTAGACCTCTTGAAGACACTGACATAGGAAAAGACTTTATGAACAAAACCTTAGTAGCATAGGAACTACCACAGAGAATCAACAACTGGGATAGCATCCTATTAAAAAGCTTCTTCACTGCAAGAGAAACCACCAACAGAGCTAAAAGACAACATACAGCGTGGGAAAGACTTTTTATCAGCTGTTCCTCAGACAAAGAACTATCTAGAATATATAAGAATATATAAATAACTTTTAAAAATCAGACCTCCCAAATTTAATGACCCAATCCAAAAATGGGCATCTGAAATGAACAGACATTTCTCAGACAAATAAGCAAAAGCAGCAAATATATGAAAAATGTTCAGCATCACTGGTCATTTGAGAGATGCAGATGAAAACAATGCCCAATTCCATCTCACTCCAGAAAGAATGGCTTCAATCAAGTCAACTGGCTGGGGATTTAGCTCAGTGGCACCATGCCTGCCTTGCAGTGCAAGGTCCTGAGTTCAATCCCTGGTACCCCCCCCAAAAAAAAGTCAACCAATAACAAATGCTGGCGGGGGTGTGGAGAGAAAACCCTTTTCCATTGTTGGTGGGAGTGCAGACTGGTGCAGCCACTGTGGAAATCACTGTGGAGATACCTCAAAGAATTAGGATTAGAGGTCCCATTTGACCCAGCTGTGCCTCTGCTGGGTATCTATTCAAAAGAATTAAAAGAATCATATCACAGTGATGTATGTGAATCCATGTCTATAGTGGCACAGTTCATAATAGCTAAAACTTGGAAACAACCCAAGTGCCCATCAACTGGAGTCTGGATAAAGAAGATGCCAGTTTTTTTTTTTTTTTTTTTTTTTTTTAATGGAGTGTACTTCTCGGCCCT